GCGACGATGCCTTGCAAGGCATATCCAGATGACGCTGGATTTGATGTATACTGTATAACCAAGTTTGTGCTCGAGCCCAAGGCCCAACACCTTGTCCCATTAGGCATCGCCGCCAAGGCGCCAATAGGCACATACCTGCGCATTGCCCCACACAGTAGCCTGGCTGCCAAGGGTGTTGTGGTGCTCGGAGGAATAGTCGACGGGGGCTACCGCGGTGAGATTTCAGTACTCCTGTTCAACACAGGCAATATAGAGATTCCGTTCGCTGCACATGACCGCATAGCACAGTTGATTCCAACCAAGATCGCACACTCACACATCACTGAGGTCAAGTCCTTTGAGGAGACAGCCGGTGGAGCCAACGGGTTCGGCTCTTCAGGAAAAGGGGGGAGGATAGCAGTCCGCATGGCTGCTGTCAAAGCGCTAATGCTGAAGACGAGCGCGAACCCTGAGAACTCCTACAAGGGCGACAGCAAGTTGGAGAAAATTATGGAGAGGATTAGTAGTGGCGAAGAACCAACATCCAGAGCCGAGCGCGACATTACAAACAAATTCCATGCACAGGGTGGTGTCCTGTTCAAGAAAGGACGCCACTGCGTCGGAACAAAGCAAGACAGATCACTACTGCTGGCCGAGTTCCATGATGCTGCAATACACCCGGGTATAAAAGCAACATACGACAAGCTGAGTGAACTATTCTATTGGCCAGGCATGTATGTGGATTGCGAGAATTATGTCACAACATGTGACCTGTGCCAAAGAGTCAAAGGCAGCAACAGGCCAAGCGATGGACCGCTACAGCCGCTACAGATCCCGCGACGCAACTGGTCAAGTGTGAGCATGGACTTCATTGTCAGCCTACCTAAGACAAAGGACGGATATGATGCAATCATGGTCGTCGTTGACTGCCTGTCCAAGATGGCGCACTTTGTACCAACACACAATGCCGCAACCGCCCAGACAACCACCGACCTGTATTTCAAGACCATCTACCGCCAACATGGCCTGCCCGAGTCCATAATATCAGACCGTGATCCGAAATTCCGCTCTGCATTCTGGATGGCACTGTGGAAGCAAACTGGAACGCAACTCAACATGTCCACTGCCGGCCATGCACAAACTGATGGACAGACTGAGCGTGTGAACCAGATACTGGACTCAATGCTGCGTGCGACGTGCAACAATTACCAAAACGACTGGAACCAACACATAGTGCATGCAGAGTTTGCCTATAATAGTCACAGCAACAGCTCGACACAGCACAGCCCATTCTATGCAAATTATAGCTTCCAACCATTGAATGCCGCCACCATCGCCTTCAACATGGAAACTGCTGAGCCCAATACCGACGCCGACGATACAATCCTGAAGATTAAACAGATTAGCGAAATAGTCAAGGAAACATCGAATTCGCACAGCTACGCATGATCAGAAACCACGACAAGAAGATAACCTCACCCGACATTGTGCCAGGCGATGAAGTAATGATCTCGACGAACTTTACAACACCATCTTACCTGCGTAACCGGTCCAGCAACTCACTGCAACATAAATGGGCTGGGCCCTACAAGGTCGAAGAACAGATCGGCCGAAATGCATTCCGCCTCAAACTCCCACTCGACATGCGCATTCACCCGGTCATTTCGTGGTCACACCTAAAAAATACCATGCTGCCGACGATCACCGTGCCGCACTCCGCTCTGAACCACCACCTGTAGAAGTTGCAGGACACCTCGAGTATCAGGTCGAAAAGATTGTTGACGACCGTGTGTGGAGGCGAAAACGCCAATACCTGGTGCAGTGGGAAGGATATGGAATAGAAGGACGAACATGGGAGGACAAGAGTAGCGTGGATGAGACAGAAGCATATGAACGATATTTAACCGCGCGCGCTATCGCCAAGACCGACGGAGTCTGATCTTAAGTAGGGGCGAATGTGACATCAGAAATGGGGGCCGAGTCACGTGACAGCGCCAGGAACGCGTAAAAATATGATCTTATTGATTATTTATTTTACGCGTTACGGCGAATTTGAATAGTGAGCTCTTCAAGCTTCTTTCCCGGTCTGAGTCTCATAAATACAATCATGCTAGAAAGATACGCATTACAAAAAAAAAAAAGTTGCAATATCTGAGCGTCCAACGACATTGCACTCGAACTTATAGCTCAAACAGCATCATTTGCATGTGATGATTTTAAATGGCACTACTTTTAACTGTGCAATTTTGTCTTTCGTTCATCATGGCAGAAAAAAAATGTACATACCAACCCAAATTCATTGAAAATACAATACAAAAAAACTGAAAAGCCAAAAAAATTGTAAAATCCTCGAAAAAATCAATAAATAGAATAATAAATTGCATAATTTTAGTTGCATGCACTTTGCAGCGCTGATTAGTCTGTGTTGCTGATCATGTGCAACAGCCATCAAAAAAAACATGTAAACATTGGCACTGTCCAGCTTAATCTGCGTTGTGCTTAATTTGCTGTTTAGTTGATAAGAGAGCGTTGGTAAAAATAAATATAAAATAAAATGACAGCAAGCATACAAACAATGTGGCTGTATTGACATTCGCTTGGGATTGCGATTGGTATTGGAGACCATTGCAGCAAAAAGCTATCGCAGCAAAAAATGCTTCAGCTTTTTGTTAAGAAAAACAGGAGATATTGGAGAGTGTACAGCTAATGATACATTCAATTAGGAGTTATTCGTTAGGATCGAGATGGCATATTCACTGTGTAGATAATCTATGGCCCATTTATACAGCCTGCTCTGCAAAACCACATCTAATGCAGCTCAAAAATAGCAATGTTAATGTAATGCTGCGCAGCCTGAAGACATGGAAGTAGATGTCGAGGTTGAGGATCGTGAAACAAGGTTCCATCTGCATGCCGGTTGATAGAGTACTAATTGGATCATGCAGGTGTAAATTAGGGAGGCATAATAATGATGTCTAGACATGCTCCCCATTTTGCAATGCACACGCGTGAGTGCACATACACGAAAACCACAACACTGACTTGCCAAAATACCGGTCTTCTTGCAGAAAAATTAGTTTTTTTCAACGGAGTGCACAATTGGCAATGTGCACAACAAGGGCGACAAGGCACATATACAGGACAAGGCGGGCGCTAGCAACATTTTATAAAAGTTAGTAATAAAACTCTTTGTAAAATCACCCCTACTTTTCTAACACTAGACAACTAGTGCTTTTCACACCCCCTCTTACATAGCATTATTACAAAAGAAATCAAAAGTATAATTAAGGTCGGGTTTGGCACACGCATATGTGTGTGTGTGCCATCCTCGACCCTGCCCTGTCTTACACACTAGCCGTTATAATCACTAATGCCGAGTACTGACTTTTCTGCAAGCAGCTCAAATATTGAGTGTTTTGGTGTTGCAATCTTTGTGCATGCGTGCATGTTATAAAAGGGCGATCATATTTGGATAATATTATTGAATCCCTGATCTAATACTCTATAATCTTCTTTGCCTTCTATCAGTTGGCATGCAAAATAAAAGCAGTCACTTGAATCTCAATCCCAACATTCACATCCATGTTATTTGGCTGTGCAACATTGTGTGTAAAGGCTAAAAAGGTTGTTTCAATAAAAGCCAAGTTGGGCAGAACAAAATAGAATAGAATAAATAAAACCAATGAAGTAAAGAATACATATTAGAAATAAATAAATGGCTGTAAATATGTCCATTCATTCTAAGCCAAGAGGAGGGAGTAGATGCGAGTGTCATAAAACTATTTTTCTAACAAGAGCCGAGGGTGTGTAATGCACAAATTATGCGAATGCTTATTAAAATGTTTGCCCCAATAGCTCCTGAACTGTAAAACCCATTTGAACCTGGTCATCCTTGCAGACACACGCGGGGATGACATCAACAGCGCCCAGCTCCAGCGACTGCCCGCGTTGCTGCCTCCTTTTCCCTGGGCGCGCGCATAGCATCCACCAGCACCTCAACGCTACCGATCCAAACCACCCTGCCGACCCGTTGCGGCGTCATCACCGGCACTTACAGAAATACAACTATCCTCAACCGGCCCCCCTCTACTGCTGAACTACCCAGAGCCTGTGCGACTATCAGCTGCAGCATCTCTCACTGTATAGCCGTATCGAGCACCAGCTCAGACGCAATATCCTGCAGCTTAAAGTTGTGCGACTTCAGCGCCAATTGTGCCAAGGAATTAACCATTTCGGGCATCTGAATGTCCAACGCCGCCTCACTGTCTGCACTCCCGTCAGGATTAGTCCCAGCATAGCAGGTGTGTTGCCATTTCTTCTTTTGTCGGTGTGCGTAGCATAAATCTAACCCGTACTGCAATTGATCCAGCAGATGCAAAAGTACCCGGTATGTGCCGAGTGCTGTTCCGACGCTAATTGCGAGGTAATACCGGCTATCATCTATGCTAGCAAAAGAATATTGAAAGTGTGTAAAAAATACTAAATTGTAAAATGCAAACTGTGAATTGGAAAGGAAAGAAAAAATAAAGTAAATTAAGAAATAAGAAAGAATAACGTTAAATTGAAATCATTTGGCAAAATAGCAGAAATCGAAAATTATGGATGCAATCAACCTTCAGTAAAATTGGCCAATGTGCGAGTTTAAAAGTATTTGTTGTTTACAGTTAAAGTGATCGGTGGATCGGTGAATCTGTAAACAAGAGGTACAGACAAGAGTTAAGATATTTATATTTTACTCATATTTTCTTCAAGTTTAATAAAATTTTAATTCTTTGCAGTTGATTTTTTGGGTCGTAAAAAGATTTATTAAAAACAAAAAAACCTAAAGTGCTAGCTTCTTGAATGACCCAGCATTGATCTCGTCCTCAGCTGGTCGCTTAAGCTGGCCACTATCCTCTTTGAGGAGCTCAATTGCCTGGGGATGCATAAATCTGGGAGCAGCATCCCAGTTAGCCTGTCGTTTAAATGTACTGTCCCACCAGAGCTGGTGGCTAATGTACTGATTTCCCGGTTCAAATAAGAACCGGCGCATTGAGTGGAATAGATCCCTGAATATCTTGCTTGGATTTCCTATCCCAAACAACTCCAGATACTTTTCCTCAACCATCATGATGCTGTACCGACTCAAAGCCAGGCTTTGACTGTCCAGAAATTTGAAGCCCTGAACGTCATCTCTCTTAGTATCGGCTGAGCGCACTGCATCCATAACGACATAGAAAACACTCTCCAGGTCATCAAGGATTCCCCGGATGGGGCTGCTGCTGAGCATGGGAATTCCCATGAAAAGCGGCGTCCCTGTAAATGGGTCCTTGGCCACCTCCACTTGTCCCACTGTTGTTGCATTGAACCCCCACTGTTCGGCAACATCAATGTGTTTGAGTTGGGTTGGGTCAGTGTCCCTGGCAGCATCCTCAGCAGTGTCCCAGCCAATGACCTTGGCACAGCCCCAGTCAATGACATACACCTTGTCGTTCTTGACGCACACGTTCCCTGCTGAGATGTCCCTGTGCAGGACACCAGTATCATTTGCCTGGGCAAGGCACAGGGTCAGCTGCTTGACAAAGCCAGGAACCAGCTCAGCCTTCTGATTGTCAGTCTTGACTTTCAGATACTCGGCCATTGACTGGCCGCAGTACTCCATGAGCACGAACTCCAGCCGGTATCCATTAAGGTCGCTGATGAGCAGGCCACTCGAAAAGATCTTGGGAATACATTCGACTGGTCTCTTGTTGAGGATGGCGTATGCGGCACCCTCGGGCAAACGATTGACTGGGGTCCAGGAAAGCTTCAGCACAGCATCATGCTTCCCATTGAATTTCCCCCTGAATAAATGGACATGGCGCCCAACCATGTATGAATAACGCGCTATTGTCTCCTTGATACAAAATAAAGTAGCGCCATCCTTGACATCCTGGGAAACCGAGTATAAGACTTCGATCTTCGAATCGCCCTTGCTCTCCACATTGACTTTCTGCGAAAAAAAGAAAGAGTCAGATTCCTCTGAGACATCGCAGAAATGCCCGAAAATGTCCGACTCAAGAGTCAGTAGGAACCAGAACCGCATGAGGCATGTCTGGATTTCCTCAGCTCCATCAGATGTCGGGCTATTCGTATCAAAGCACAGCTGGCCAAGCTTGACGATGTACAGTTTATCGCGATAATATGCATAAAGCGTCAGGAGGTGCCCATGGAGGTAGAAGACAGGCGCAAACGTGCGGGTTGCCTGCTTATCATTAAGCAAATGGCCGTAATCTGCGAGCTGGCCGCGAGTATCCTCTATAGGTCCGCTGAGATCTGGATCCATCTTAGCCTCGAGTATAGCATGGATGGAATGAGCATTCTCCTCTGTGTAGCCTCTGTAGTAAAACGCGATGTCTGGCTTGTGGGGAGTCTTTGGTATAACCTTAAGCTGATGGTCCTTCAGCTTAAGCTTGCAGTCTGGGATTAGAGTTCCGCCTGCTGGAATAACTCTATTTGCGACACGAACTGCATTGACCATCGCGTTGAAGAGGAGGATAAAATATTTGACCAAGCGAGCTTCCTTAGCCAACCCTATCAATTTCCCCGAGTTGTTTTGAAAACGTCAGCAATGGGGAATCGCCAAACTCTTCAATCGAGCGATCTGTATTGGCTACGATGCCTTTGATATCAGCCACTGGCGACCCTCTGGCTATGCTGAGGAAGAGATTGGGCCAATCCTTGATGAACCGTTCATACTGCTCCTTCACACCCAGAGATTCAACAAAGGCATTGAACAGATAGTTGTGTTTTATGTTATCGCCAAGGCATTTCAGCAGCCGCTGACGGCGCTTATCGCGTACTTCGGGGGGCTCCGATTCCCCGGGTGGCAGTTCCTCCTTTTTTTGATTTTTTGAGGGCGTTTGGATAGTGCCGCCTGTCTTGCTGCTCTAATAAAAAAGAAAACAAAATGTTTTAAATTAGTGTCCGAATTAGTTTTATATGCACGCAGAATAAACAACAACAAACAATTCATCAATATCATAACAATCCGTTTATATTCAAGTACTTACGCCTATTTGATTCGGCGGGGTCTTATTCGGAGGAGCTAGCTCAGACATCATTGAGAGAAAGGGAAAGGGAAATAGAAAGAGAGGGGGAGGGGAGAGAGAGAGAGAGAGAGAGTGTGTGTGTGTGTGTGTGTGTGTGTGTGTGTGTGTGTGTGTGTGTGTGTGTGATAAGCACTGAGGTATGATAAAAGTAATAAAAAGTGAAGAAAAAACAAATTGAACGAAATGATGCGAATTGAGAAAAAAAAAAGCAAATATTAAAAGTAGAAGCAAAGGTGGAAAGTTGCAAAGGTGAAAGTTTGTTGCGATAGATTGCACCAAAAACAAAAAACAAAAAATTTAATATAAACAAAAAACTTTGAGCTTTTCATGCTTGCATTTGGTTGGCTGAAATATGGAAACAAGAAATAATTATATTTACGGATTAATTTCCAATCGGCATTGTTCTTTTTCCTTGCGCATTGATTTTGAGCTTATATTGTTTCTTTTGGGAGCATGGTGGCCCTGCCATTCAATGCTGTAAAAAATATGTGCTTCCCTGATGCGTACACTGAACCAGAGATGCGTTTATGCCCCATTGCCTGGCTGTCAGGCCAATTGAGACACAGAGCCACATACTTCATGTGTCCACAACAGAAGCATAAAATTATGAATGCAAGAGAACTTTGACTTGGATCTTTAAGACCCAGCTGCAAGGTCACTTGGCTGAAATGGTTAACAAACTTCAGGTGCATCCGGCACCGATAGATGGCACATTGGAGAAACTCAAGATACATGTGGACCCATTACCAGGATAAGAAGCTGGACCTGGGTATGAGTCGTAGTTGGCAAGAGCTGACAGAGTATAGGTACACAACGCTGGTCAAGAAAATTCAAGGGAATCAAGCAAAAACAAGCAATGGTGTTTGTAAATGAGATTGTACATAATCAGCAGGGCTAGTACAAGAGACAGTGTGAGCTTGCATGTCGAGCGGGAAATGAGGGTATCCTTGACGCCTAATAAATGCCGATTGTTGATAAGAACTCCAATCTCGACAAACATCCTGAATACTAACTCTATGACAAGAAGATGATGATGGCTTGCCAAAGTGGCTGCAGACGATAGCAATGAGGGCAGGATATATGCACACTAGCTATATGGCCACGATTGATGCTTTAGTTGGCAAATTGAGTGCTTGGGTTTAATTTTACTAACGCCTCAGCAGACACTTCCACCGCCAGAAAATTAGACACAGCTCTGAGTAACCAGAGGCATGTAGCCAGGTTCTAAAATAGGGTTCAAGATGGGTACGGTGCTGCAGTAGAAAATCAATTTTATTCATTAATTTCAGTTTTTATTTTTTGCTGGAATCTGGGAGTTCTATGAATGTTCAGTGAAGGTGAAGAGATAAACACTATGTATATATAATTATCTATTGTAAAAGCGCTATACATTGATGGAGTGCGACAGTACATTTATGTGATGTGTGTCCCTGTATGACTATCAATTGAGTGTTTGTCTGGCTAAACAACCAAGGCTGGCTAATCAATTGATCGCGACCAGCTAATAAAATATAATTGCAAGTTTGCAGAACTTCTCGGTTTAAAATATTAGTTCAACAATGGCGCTGCAAATAATTCATTTAAAACAGGCTTAATGTGTTCAAAATTTACATGTTAAAATACTATTTTAATAGATGCATGGTAGTTTCTATTTTTAAAAGACAAATGTCATTTTGAGCTTGCCATTCTTAACCACCCTTGCCAGTTTAGTCGCATTGTTTACAATGTTTTGGAAAAATTCACAACGGGCTTTCAACAAAAAATTTACTCGGACAATCCTAGTTCACATTTTGCACATGCTTATTGTCATTTTAAAAATATATATTTGAACAAAATAAACTAAAAGAAAGCTAAGGGATGAACAGCCTCTACTGTTCATATTCACTAGTATTTATGCGTGCGTATAAATTCCCACATATCCAAGTAGGGAATTGACTAGCGATTGATTCATTAATCAATTGCCAGAGGCAAGCCACAATCCCTTGTATCATAATGTAAATAAGTTGCATATGCATATTTTTACTTTGACTGATAAAATGTTATTAAGCGCAAAATTAATCACATATTGTTCATCCAACATACCAGACAAGGACTATAATTACTAACAAGTGTTGGCTGTGTTGCTAGATTAAACAACAGTCAGCAATGTCAGGCAGTGCTGTAACGTTCTGTGTGGTCACAGGTGTACATATATAAAACTAAATTTAACATTTGAATAATCTCTGCAGCATGTATTGTTAATATATTTGGCCATGTGCAATTGTAGAAAACATGTTACAAATAGATATTGTTGCACAGACTGAAGATATGGAAGTGGATGTTGAGGTCGAGAATCGCGAAGCAGGTTTCCACCTGCGTGCCGATTGATAGGACGCTAATTGGATCATGCAGGCGCAAATTAGGGAGGTATTACATTGATGCCCAAACATGCTTCCCATTTTGAAATGCACACACATGAGCGCACACGCACGAAAACCACAACATTGACTTGCCAAGATACCGGTCTGCTTGCAGAAGACCCAGTTCTCACCAACGGAGTGCACAATTGACAATGTGCATAACAAAGGCGACAAGGCACATATATAAGATGAGGCCGGCCCTAGCAGCACTTTAGAAACATTAGTAATAAAACCTTTTATAAAATCACCCCTACTTTTTAACACTAGGCAACTAGTGCTCCTCACACCCCCTCTTATTATAACAATATAATCAAAAAGAATATTTATTTCTTCCAATGAAAAAGGATTCCTGGCTGCCCGACAGCCACCATTTTTATGTTTTCCTTTATATATAAATAAAACATAATAAAACCTTCTCATCGTTGCTCCGAATGCCACACGCATAATCCATTAATCTTAGGCAAAATATTTGTTTACGCGACATCATGTGCCTCAACTGTGACATAAAATTTATTTTTTATGAATAACAGAATTAAGTAATCCATATGTTTTTTGATTGCATAGGTACTAGCCGCAGTATATCAGCGCATAATGATATATTTTATCTGGCTGAGGTGAACTACCCTGGTATGCATGCTGCTGTTGTCGGAACATCCAGCGACTTTGTGGGTGTGGTCAT